AACATTTAAAAATTGTTGAATGCTCAACACCTTTCATCCTCACATAATCGTTATATACAGAAAGGGCTGGTAATCAATCAATCAAATAATTGCAGCCAACAAGAACAGAAGTATACTTTGGAACTGTTGTGAAATAATGTGGTCCCTCACCTTAGAAGAGATCATGTATGACTCAACTCAACTGTTTTCCTGTTTTTGTTTTCTTTCTTCTATTCAGAATTATTCTCCTAGGTTTCTGTGTATCTCTGTCGATCTCCTTTTCAGATTATTTAGAGCACCTCCCTTAGCTCCCTTCTTTCAGTTTGTGTCAGCTGTTTCAAAATTTACCTTGACTACTCATACCTGCATTGTGTTTTATTCCTCTAACCTTCCCTAATATTAAAATGTATGGTTTCACATTGTTCACCGGTCAATGCTCTCATGTACAGTCAGTCACCAAACCATATTTTTCAGCCTAATTTCTCTTTCCAAATTCATTGTTAAAAGTAAACAAGCTAGGTAATACACATCAGCTTCTGTGTGTTGTTAGTGCTGATTCAATGTGAAAGACGAAATAATGAGACTGAAACATGGACCCAAGAAGCAGTACCTTACCAGTTTTACCAGGCTTAAAAAAAGCCTAAGTTTTTTTTATTTCTTCACCATATTAGTTATTAATCTTTCAACATGATAGTTTTTGCCAGCAAACTTAAGACCAGATTTTTTCATGGCATCAGACAGGATCTATCAAACCTTAGGTATTCTCCTGTTGAGTTACTGAAAATGCTCCAACTGATCTGAACCTAAGATAGGAATTTAGAATATCAGATTGAAACTTAAAGTTTAACTTTACACAGGGAAAGAGACATTTCTATTCTCTTAATAGACACATCTTTTAATGTTTGGATTAATAAATGGATCACTCTAAAAAATCGTTCAAACTCGTCTCTGAACCACCATCAGTATTTCCCTTTTACCAGGTAAATTTTTCAGTTGTTTGGGTTTATGTCTTTTTTTAATCTGTGACATATAGTAGTGTGATGATTCCTGATATAAGTCAATAGGTATTAGTTTTTTTAGTGACTAGATCAAACAATTTACTGTTTCGAATTGTTAAATGTGTAATTCTAAGATTAAATGTGATTTATTTCTCATTATTTTTCATAAAGTTGAAATTGACTGAAAAAAAAGTAAAAAAAAAAGATTTTTATCTACTAATAGATTTACAATAGATTTCACATTGGTAAAGATTCAGTGAATAATAACCTAATTGTATCAATGCATTTTCTAAACATTCCAATTAAATATATCCATTTCATTGAGTACATCACTACCCAGATGTCTTCCTATGCGCTGCTGCCTGACAAGCAATCTGGGACAAAGGGTCTTGGTCAAGGACCAAGAATCAGGTCCAAGACCAAAACTCTTAACACAACTATTTGCAGCCTTATCAGAAATCCATGACTCTCCGTTAGCAACAACTGAGATGTATTTATTTTAAAGTCATTAATAAAGTAGTTATCACATAATAATTATTGATCCTTTGTTATGAGGCACTTGAGACAGAGTTCTTGGGTACGATAACTGCCTCTAAAAGCAAAAAAGCTTATTTTATTTAATTTAAATTTTTTTTAATTAAAATTCAGATATAAAAAAATACATATCTGAAATAAAATAAAGTCATGGTATTTCTCCATCTATTACATCTTGACTAAATCTACATTTTAACAGGATATGCTGGTACACTGAAAAAATTATAATACAAAAACAATTTCTACTTAATCATATTTTGTGATTTAACACAGGGTAGAACATGAAAAACATACCTAATGTAACTAAATATAATTAAGTAGATGCCAAAACGGTTGCATTATTTTTTTTGACATTTTTCCAGCATCCTAGTAGGACGTTCCAAGAAGCGCAGGCTGTAGGTGGCAGTAATGAGCTACTTATGCGAAACTTAAGTACCGTAGAAGAACACGACGTGAAACCAATTCTAGTACATGAGAGTTGGAGGGCAATGAAAAGCAGATATATTAGCTCTAACCATTACAATTCCCTTTGGGAAAAGGGGAAGGGAAATAACTTATTAAGATAAAAAACAAAGGCAAAAAGGTAGAATGAAGATTAGAAATGAAGATGGTTATGTAAAGTCAGTATTAGATAGCAATATTAATGAGACAAACAGAAGAGAAGACATAATAATGATCAGGTTAAGAGTGGGACACAACTATTTAAATGACAATTTATATTTAACAAGGAGGGAAATAATTATAAATGTGAAGAATGTGGAGAAAAAGAAAATGTAGAACACGTATCGATTATCTGTGAAGCAAATGCACAGGGAGAAATTGAGAAGGAAATGTTGGGAGGGAAACTGGGAAATGAAGGAAATATTAAGGATGAACAGTAGGTGGCGGTATGCACCTTAAAGTTGCTTGCGATCCGCCATAATAGAAAATAAGACGAAGAAGAAGAAAACGACCACTTGAATTTGCAGTGTTGTTGAGATAGAAGCTGTCGCGTATAAAGCAAATGTAAGCGTTAGTTTGGCGATGATGGGATGTTTCGGTGATGGATACCATCGTCGCGTTTGCTGGCAGGTCTAATATCTGGGATCCGGACTTTGCAGACAGCAGGAATTAGCCGGTTCCCTGTGGATCCCTCCTTCCGTTCCCTCCATTGTAAAGCTGGTTGCTGGAAGCGACATGGACAGGTATGCTGGCGACAACTGGGCAATGAAATAAAGCAAATAAAAAAAGACCAGAAAGTTATAAACCATTGGAATCAGTATGTATGTCCTGCTTAATGGTGTTATTATTATTATTACTGATGCTGATAAATTGCACTAAAATGTGATGTAAAATATGATGAAGGACAAAAGTGAAGTCTTTAAATTCAGAGAAGTTAATGATTAGCCCTGCATGTTAGCATTTTCTGTTTAGAAAATGGTTTGTGATATTTTTTTGTCATTAAAGTTTTTTTTATTTATTTTTCTTTTATACCACAGTTACAAACATATGACATTCAACAACTAAAACATAAACATCGGCAGCAACACAGAACATGACAGCACTTATCAGTTACCTATTCATAGATATAGAAATGCACATATTCATATTCACAGCATACATCACACCCCAAAACCCCTAAGAATTTTTACCAACGTTGTAGTCAAAATATCCCCATGCTTGGCTAGCCTTATTTGGCTCTTTCTGCACCCTAGAAATCCTGACCTCATAAGCAGCTGTCTCTGACATAAGTTGAAGCCATTCCTTGATTTCTGTTCTATGTGGGCTCTTCCATTTAAGAAGAATAATTCTGGCTGCTACTAGAAAACCTGTCATCATTAGTCTACCTTCAGCTTTTGGGATGCCCTCTGGCATCAATGACTTGTCTCTTAAAAGGCAAAATTGTGCAGTAGAGGTTGACTAAGCCAGTCCTCGAATTTTTTCAAGACCTCCTTCCAAAAGGGCATTATCAAAGGACACTCCCATAATGCATGGAGAAATGTCCCAACCTCTTTATTGCACTTCCAGCTTTTGTTATCCTTTATTAAACCCATTCGACATAACTTACTTGGTGTAAAATAATACCTATGTACCATTTTGTAGTGAATAAGTTTATTTCTTACGTCCCTTGTAGCCCCTCCCACGTTTGAGATAACATTTTCCCACACAGCGTCATCAATGTCTGTATCAAGTTCTTTCTGCCAGATAGTTCTTAGATTTTCACACATTTTTGTTTAGTTCTTAGATTTTCACACATTTTTGTTTGGGTTTTTGACATTTTGTTATAGAAAGCAGAGGCAGAGCGTAAGTGTGAAATAGGTGGAGCATTAAAAAACTCCTGCAACAGATTTTCATCTTTATTCTCTCGTCTTAGACCAAAAACAGTTCCTACTGAACTTCTCTTTGTCTGTTAAGTTAAATTGTTTTTTAAGTTCCTCAAAAGACATGAATGTTTGATCTCTATATAGATCCTGGACAGTACGTATGCCCTTCTCTAACCATGTTGGCCAAAGAAATACCATTTTACCAATGCAGATTGAGGGGTAATTCCATAAAGAAGAGTAGCTTTGTGTATATTGTGAAATCCCCAACATTTTATGCACCCTTGCCCACGCCCATCGTGAATGAGCCAAGATTAAATTTGCCTCCCCTGCCCGTGTGTTCTGTGACATATATTCCACCATACCAAATGGGCACACAAGTCCTTCTTCAATTTTGACCCAACCCGGCTGGGAACCACCAGTACCCCAATGCCTTGCCATTTTATTAATCTCAAAGGCAATATTATATAATTCCACATCTGGGAGCGCCATTCCACCAACATGTCGTGAGGCCAATAGTTTTTGAAGCTTAATTCTTGGCCTTTTCCCATTCCACAAAAACTCTGTGATTAACTTGTTATATTGCTTGAAAATAGTGTTGGAAATCTGTACTGGTATCATCATTGAGATATAATTAAATTGAGTGGAGACCATCATTTTAATTACATTAATTTTTCCCCATAATGTTAGGTTAATCATCCTCCACTTTTCCAGATTCAGCTTAATCGTCTTAAGAAGAGGGGATATATTCATGTCAATTATAGTAGCCAAATCTGGGTTAAGTCTAATACCTAAATACTCCATTCCAGTTTGAACCCACTTAAACTGGAATGTTGTCATTATGGTTTGGTTTGTGATATTTTGATAATTCTAAATTATTGGTTTAGAGCAATTGTCTGTATCTGTAGCCATTACACACATTTCCATTGAGCTCCAAAGGTCTTCAAACAGGACTGTAGAGCAGCAGATCCAGTTCCTGAGGGCCAGGATCCTGCTTTTGGTTGATCAAACCTCAATCAATAATGAGATGATTAAGAGGAGTCTGTAGGAACTGAGTGCATATTGAGGAGGTAATACAGCCCTTTGATTCAGCTGTGTTGGACCATGGGTGGATCTAGCAGGAGCGGGACACCGGCCCCCAGGAACTGGAATCGCCACCCCTGCTGCTGTAGAGGAATGTTTGTAGCTGATTGATTTGTGGTACTTCAGTATTTCTCTGATGCTTTGACTTTGTTCTGTTTTTTTTTCTGAATAGGAGCAGTGTTCTCTATCAGGCAATGCTGACTGTCGGAGCCGATGGGAACAATATAATGAAGCTGATTCCTATCCCGAGACGCAATGGACAGCCTTCCCCAACCCAGGCAGCTGTTCAAAGAAGCAAGGGACATTCCCACTTGACTCCGACGTCATTCCCCACTCAGATCCCTGTTAGGAGCAATACAATGTCCCACTCTACCCTGACACCGGTTCCGATCATCAATGCCCAGTTTATACCTACCCAGATGCCTATCCAAAAAAACAATGGGCAGACTTGTCCAACTCAGACCCCTGTCCAGATAATCAATGGACATTCTCCAATCCAGGTGGCTTTCCAACGGACCAATGAACAGTCTGTCCATATAATTGGCCCTAAGTCTTTGCCGACCCAGACCCCTTTAAGTACCAGTGGACAGCCGCGCCTGATTGCGACTCCTAAGAAAGCCTTCAGTGTATATAAACCATTGCTCCCGAAAGCCTCTCCAGAGTTTACCAGCAAACCGGTTTCTTCTGGGAACGTGTCGCCCTCTCAGATGGACTCCTCTCATAGAGACTCCTTACATAAACAAAGTCCTCAGCAGCAGACTGTGAATCCATCAGCCAAAGTACCCCAGACTGGATCTCCATCAGTAGGATGTTCCCTTGAGCCTCAAGTGACAGCGGCGTCTCCTGCCGTCCACCAGTCAGATGTCCATAAAATCATCCCTAAAGAACAAAGCCAGAAAAATAAATTATCCAATGGAAGGCCAGATGTCAAGGAGCCAATCTTTGCTCCTTCAGCATGCTTCTCTGCCAGAGAGAGCTCCCCCACTGTCATCTTTGTGTCACCTGGCAACACAAGGCACCAAGAGGTAACAAAAACGATCGGTTCTGCCGCTGATAGACTCAGAAACCTGGCAGAAATTATGAATAAGTATAACTCTAATAGCAACAGTGGCAAAACCCGGGAGTTTAACTGTGGTTTGCCTCCGCAGGCCGGAGGAGGCCCAAAGTTAAAACTGATTCCAAAGCTCTCTAAAACACCCAACAGTCCAATTCGGTGGGTGATAGAAGACATAAACAGCTGCAATGATGGACATGCCTCCATAAAACCTCTTTCATCTGAATCCGCCTCCTCAGGAAATCCCGCCTCTTTAAATAAAACTGCATCAGAACGTCCATGGCTAACATACGATGGAAGGCTGTTTTATGTAACCAAAAGGGGTGGCTCATCTTTTGAATCCCCTGCAGCCACACAGAGTGTTCCTTCGTCCTCGCAACAGTCAGTCATCCTCACAACAGTCGGCAAGTCGCCTGTAACTTCAGCTGATGAAGTGATTGATCTTTGTGATGATGACGGCTCTCCATCCTCTTACATGCCTGAGAATAACCCTGGAGATGAGGATAATGTAATTTTCGTCTCTTATGTTCCCCCCAAGTCCAAGTCTTGCTCAACAGGGAAGGAGCAGTTGGGAGTTGACGGCTCTAACAGCAGAACCAATGTTTTACCTGCAAGAGACGGAGAACGGGTCCAGAACACGTCTGTCAGCCGGGAGGAATGTGTTGTTAGTCCAACAGAGAAGGATGCTTCTGAAAGTTTAACCAGTAAGAGGCTGGAGAGGAACCCAGACCAGCAGCTGGTAACCATGGAGACAGATGCAGAGACGGTAGACTTGGCAAATATCAACAAGGAAGAAAGTTCTCCAACAGTGCAGGTGAGGCCACTTCTTCCACTTAACTCTCAGGGAGAAACAAGGTTGAAGGAGGATTTCTTCAGTTTGCAGATGATCCTCCAGTTTATTCTCTGGTCTGAGGGGGTTTCTGAAAGCTTGTTCCTTTAGTTTGGGGTAGGAAGGTAAACTTTATCCTTTCAAACAGCTTGACATGTCAGCATTTGTATCATTCATAAAAGAACTTCTTAATTAGGGCTGCAACTAATGATTATTTGGCTATTAAAAGTCAGATCAACAAAGGTTCTTTTTTTTTTAGAGTCTCTTTCCTCCAGTTAACGATTACTAAATTAGTTGACGATTATTTCAATAATCGATTTATCCAGTTAATTGTTTCACTGCTAGTTTTAATTTATAAATCTATAAATGCAGCAGTTACATGCAGACTGAGATCCACAAAGGTCTCCATCACACCTACGTATTTCCATGTTGTAAGCAAGATTCTTTTCATTTTAGACCATAGATCAGACTGTTATAAAACTATACAACATTAGATAGAAACACATTGTGATTTCTGGATGTTGAAATAAAAATAGATGTTAGCAAAAAGTTTGTTTTGAGGTCCCTGGCTGCTCCATAGGAAGGAGCACAGTCTGAAAAGATGCCTGGATTGGCCATGTTAATATGGGAACTTTGAGTTTAGGGGTTTCCGGTTTACCAGCTGCTCCCTGCATACCTGAGGGACCAGTAACTCATTAGGGCCCCAGATGGAGCTTTTACAAGGCAAGTTTCATGGAGACTTTTGACTTGTTTTTATTTTTAAGCAGCAGCAGGCGATGGCTTCGTTCTTTATATATTCATGTAGATTGTCTCTAAACTTGGATGTTTTGGTTGAGCCTAATGAATCTGTCGGTAAAACATCTTCGCCACCTCATCATCTCAAGGTTGAGTAAAATCTCTACGGTTTGTAAAGTGAGGATTATTCCACCGTGTTCAAACCAATTCTTCAATTGTAATTCTAAATGTAACCGGATGATTGGAGAAATCCCAAGGAGCCAACTGCTCCTCCTGAGGAAGCTCAGATTTTTCAGTGTTTGCAGCAAGATGGTGCAGATCTTCCATTTATCTGTTGTGAAGAAGGCTGGGAAACAGCATCCCCTCGAAATCCCACATCCAGGCCGTTTCTCTATTCACTAGAACGCGAGTACGTACTCATGTTCTCGGAAACTTCGGAATTCTTTTTTTTAAATTACTCGTTAAATCGGTAAATAGGCCATATAATGATGCTTTAAAGTATAATATTCTCGCCTCAAATGATCTTAAAACGTACTTTTATTGAACAACAGCAACAGAAAAGAGAACTTTTAACTTTCAATAGAGCGCTCCATTGAAAGTTGCTGCTGCCGCAGTGCATGCTGGGACAGCTGTCAGTCTCAAGAACGGACAAGTCTGCTCTGATGCATGCTGGGTAAAGAGGGCGGGGCGAGAACAACATCCGGGGATTTAATGCGTTCTCAGTCTGGCGTTCTCGGCAATTGGAACAGTGCTCGGGCTGAGGCAAATGGCGTGTCACGAGTACATGAGAACGCTCAAGAACGCACATTGAGAAACGGCTCCTCAGTCGCCGCCCCGCTGTGGTTCGCTCCAGACCGCCTGCGATAATCAAAGCCTGCAGCCTCCACTGTTCCTCCCGTCCTGCTCCGCTCCGACTTCCTCAGAGCTCGAGGAGATCAGGCACGATATTATTATTAAATTTGTAGGAGCAAAACATGCGGAAATGAACGCCTACTTTAATATGACACATTTAAAAAAATCCACATCTGAATCCAGCATATGTGTGGTGTCTTTTCGTTGGGATTTTTGTAACTGATAACTAGGGTTTTGTACAAAATTGTTTTGTATGAACTATGATTGTTCTTTACTTCCAAACTCAGAATCTCTTCATCCAGGCCTGTGATAAAAATTTTCTCTTGACTGGATTTTTTAAAAACTTTTAAGCCTCGGAGTATAAAATAAATATTTTGATTGAGATGAGAAATCTGCTTCCTGGTATTTGGAAGTACCAAGAGTTTGCATCCAAGAATTTAATTAAACGGCCTTAGTTTTTGGGAATATATAAGAATTAAGCTCTAATTTGTAATTACAAAGCCGTCGTTACCATATTGTAATTTGACAAACTGGATGTTCTTGCCGTTGTTTTTCCTGTTTGGTGCAATTACAGTTGCAGATCTTTACCTGGCCGGACTGGAGCAAAAAATAGCTCTGCTCCGTATTTCTATGTTGACGGATGGAGAAGGCGTACGTGGACGGTGATGTGCGGAGGAGTGGCAGTGGATGTAGAACAGTTCTCATTGATTAACATGACAGACAAGTAATCCGCACGACATATGTGAGCGGGGCGGGGCAGAGCGCTGACGGAGTATGTGGAATCTGGGGGTCAGAGTTGGGGACCTAAAAGGCTGCTTCTGTTGTGAGACTTATCTGGAACCTCTGAACAGGATTGGACCAGGAGGGATTTTCCCTTTAAAACGTAGAACAGCAACAACCACTGAGCATCATCACCTTTAAAGCAGAGGGGGAAAATCCAGGTCCAGAAAGTAAAAACCCTTCCTTGTTTTCCTTCATCCTGTTTCCTTAACCAGGTCATTATCCTCTCAGGTAATTAGTCTGCATTGTGGAGCTGGAATACTGATCTCTGTACAGACTGTTTTACTCTCTAAACCTCGTTTATCCATCTCTGCTTCAAAGAGTCAGAGGTTTCTCTGAAACACCAGCTGCTCCTGCTTGTCCTTCGTGTTCAAACCCGGTTCTAATGACCCGGAAGAATTAGGTATTTATAAAAAAAAAAAAATCCCTTTTTGGTTGACAAAGACTTTTTTGAATTTTGAGTTTCAGTCCTGAACTCTCCTCTTAGTGTATTAATTACTGAACAGAATATATTATATATTTATGCACCAGAACATGGATTGTTTTCCTCTGTCCATCCTTTCAGCTTCTCCCTTTAAATCGCGTTCTTTGTCTGATTTTCTCACTAAGGAAACGGATCTGCTCAGTGACTCTCAAAGAAAAGATGCTTTCATTCTACTTTTCTTCTCATGTTCTTGAACAGTCCAATGTTCTCGATCAGCCTGTTTTTCTGTGTAGTCCTGTTTTTTTAGACTGTGACTAACTGGATGTGCTCTCTTCATCCTCTGACATGGGAGCTGGCTCAGAGCTCGTCTGCCTGGCTGTGTGTTTCCTGGACGGGGCGCCTTATACAGTTTTTTTATCTCTGCTTCTGTCTCCTTGAACCCCAGTCAGCCTCGGCAGATGGCCGCTCACACTGCTGGAGGTTTCTTCCTGTTAAAAGGGAGGTTTTCCTCTCCACTGTCGCTACAATCATGCTTAGTGTGAGGGATTGTATTTGAATCAATAAATCGATGCAATCAACTGGTTTTCCTTAGATAGAAAACTTTTAATCAATCAGACTGTATGACCTGGTGAACTGTAAAGTTCCTTGAGATAATGTGTTGTTAATTGGAGCTATATAAATACATTTTATTGAATTGAATGTTTAATTTCTCACATTTTTCTGTCCTGCAGAACTCTGAACAACCCGCTCCTGATCAGACTTCGTCATCAGCATCAGAACTCTGTCAAAGGTCCGACCACCAGCTTAGGAACATATTTGGGATTACAGCTGATGTGAAAATTTGCCTTCAGAGGGTGGATGAAGCGCCACATTGGCGTCTCCCTGCTCAGTTTCCTCATACTAAATCCAGAGTTCCAGTAGAGGGTGTTGGGACGTTGAGAATTAATTTTAAAGATAAAGTGGATGTTAAAGTCCTAACTGAACTGGAACAGTGTGCATCGAAGGAGAACTGCTGTTCTGGTTTGGAAAACTCCTTCTCACCGGAAGACGAGTCTGTGATTGGATATGTGGAACCCATAGACGAGGATTTCACTGATGAAAATTACATCCCTCAGTTACAGGACACACATGTCCATCCCCAAACGCAGAAATGTGGGGACATCAACCCAAGCACGAGGCGAGTTGGACGGACACGGAAACGCACCATGTGTCTCTGCTGCGTACCGACTATTCTGCATCCTGTTATTAAATCCGCCACCTCTTGGGAAGAGGTGGAGAGTTGGACGTCAACAATAGAGGGGATGAGTAAAGGAGGAGGAAGGACGAAGGCTTCAAGGAAAGATGGAAGGACGTCTACCGGGATCGGCTACCCCAGCTGTAAAGTACACAAGACTTCTGCTAGCAGCGGCTCATCCACAGACTCTAATGGCCTGAAAAGACACGAGCAGATCATGAGACACAGTCAACATCAGGCAAAGAAGCAGCATAAATTACCATAACAAAGAACTGGGACAGATAGAGGTCCTGTTTTACCTCCAAACTAAAACAAATTATTCAGTCCTGGTCATTTAACTCCTTCAGTCTGTTAAAAGCTCTACTAACCAAACAAACAACTTATTTTTTTCTTTATATCTGAGGTTATAAGTCTGTCATTGCTTTTCTATTGGTTCTACTTGTTTATTAAAAATAATGGAGCCAACATGGCGGCACTATAAGAAACAGCCTGTCAGCCTGCTGCAGCTCCAATGTTTGTCCCCTGGTACCTCCTAAAGTGCGTTCTACTGTAGATCCGTGTTCCAGTGATAGTTTTTACTGCAGGCTACCTCTGTTGGTCTATCAGGTTCTCTAACCTGCCTGTTCAGACAGGTCTGCTAGTTTAGATGGATCAGCTTCTGTACAACTCTACTTTAAACTAGATTTGCTCAGTTATTTTTTTCCTAACAGCTTCTGTTTTCATGCTTATAAACTTATTTTTAACTACTGAAGTCCAAATGTTTGTATTTCAAGTTCCTGTTCTACAGTAATGCCTAAAAGAAAAAAATCCCTCTGTCATCACTATGGCTTGGATACTTTATTTTTATAAAATTATAAAAAGATGGAAGTTTATTGAAGTGTTTGTTGCATTATTTTTAAAAAATGAAGGGAAAAAATAATGTGAAGAAATAGAGAAGGGAGACTGGAGATGGCTGCAAAAATGTTTGCCCTCTCCAATCAGAAACCTGCTTTACTGATTACACTGATAAAGAAGACACTATATTTATTGGAGAAAAAAATGTGTTTTATTGAATCTTTACTTAATTTACTTCAAAGTTGCATAGTAAGCATGTGCTAAGTCTTTGTTTCTAGCTAGCACACGGTACTGTCTTAGTTGACAGTGTCACCAAGCTGGAAATCTACTCAAAGTGCTGGATGTGCAAGTCTGCACATAAAGATTGAACCGCTGGAGATGCTTTTTATACATGCCACAACTGTGATGCTGACTGGAGGCGATGGAGTTAAATTTTTATTTAGATGCTCAATCCAAAAAAGAAAAATCTGCTTTTAAAAGGTTTTAAATTTTCCCTTCTTTGAATGTCTGTGTGGTGAAGATTCTCAGTCATCCAGGTCATAGTCTTTCCAAAAAGGTTAAAAAAACGAACCACTGGACTTTGTTTTTTAAGTTTGAGGATTTTCGCTTCCCATCCAGGAAGCTTTTTCAATTCAAAATGTCAGAAATAGCGTCGCGTACGAGGCTTTATACAGCAGCACAACAATTCCTTGTTTTTGTTAGAAAACATGCAAATTGAAATCTTATTCCCTATTTGCCTTACGTGTAGTTAAATGCATTTAAAGTTTAGAAAGTCCAACTTCAAATTATAAAAAAACATTAATTCTCATAGGCTGTGCATGAACAAAAAGTCTACCTCTGCCTTCTGAAGGGTTTAACCTTAACTGATGCTGTAAAGGTGCCTCAGGATAAGCTGAGTTAAATTAACTACAAACAGGATGATGTTTTCTTGCCTTTATTTGTCTAAGTTTTCTCTTTTATTTGATGAAAACCAGACAGTGAAGAAATGCCACACAGCACCCATAAAAACACTTTTTAATATAGAAATGTTTGCTATAAATTATGCTTAATATATGCTTAAACGTTATTTTCTAAAGGTATTCAAAAAACCTGACCACCCTCCATACACTGCGACACATTTTTTCTATTTTTTATGAGTGTAGCCTCCGCAGACTAACCAGTAGTGATAAAGAGTCATCTTTCACAGTGTCAAACTGCATTGTTCCTGTCTCACAGAATACTGACACCTGCTGGACATTTAAAGGCACTACAGGTAGCTGATTGGACAGACTGAATTGATTTGATGACCTACTGCAATGATATAATAGAAGTAATTGTAGGTTATATTGTATTATTTCATATCTATGTTAAAATTGAAAATATCTTTGATATTTTTAGATGCAGCCAATAAATAATATAAAAATACATTTTAAATTATAAATAATATATAAATATATGCTTGTGGAATAGGAATATAAATCAAAATTTTAACACAATAAGTACAGTAAATAAAGTAAGAGTCAATTGGAAATTGACTTTAATTCAAATAAGTTGACTGATAACCGATGACACAACGAGAGTAAACACTACGAGAAAGTAAGATAAAAACGCAACGGCTGAAAGGTTCCTATTCTTTTTAGGCTCCAAAATTCTTCATAATTTTAATGATAAACGTAAAAGATGAGACTCTTTTTTTAGCAGATGCAACATGGTGACAGATACGTTTTTAATCAAAGTTTAGTGAATCAGTCAGTTAGAAACAACTGCTGTATCGGTCACATGACTTTCTGGAAACGACACGCGCACAGATGCGGTGGGCTCCACGCACGCGCCGACTAGTCCATCACTAGTAAGCGGCGTTTGGAGATGCTTTTATTCTGAAAGGCCCGCACCGGATATTTGGCTTTAAAGCTAATCGGAAATGTACCACCGCTAAGGTGTGAACGTCCTGCCGGACAAACGGCCTAATCCAGGTAGGCTGTGGAACCTTTAATCACACTTTGCTTCATATCAGCTGCTTCTGTCTGGGTTCGGCGGCCCGTTCGCATCTTGTTCTGTTTGGTTCCGAAGGTGAGTTCGCTTTATTCTGGTTTTCCACCGTGTTAGATCTTATCGACCGCGTGTCTTTGAAGAATCTTTAAGCTGAAATAGTTTTTATCCAAAGGAAACTGCGGAATCTTTGCTCCACCATAAAGTAACTTCAGATATTTGTTTTCCCTGCGTGGGAGCCGCAGGGTGAAATGCAGCGTCACCACACAAACCCTTCCACGGCGGAAAACAAGTAATTTGCCTGGACTATTTAAAACCAGTCTTTATCTACATGGCAATTCAAGCCAGATTAAATGCTCCATCGTGTAAAATGAACTGTCAACCAGGGGCGGTGCCAGACATTTGGATGCCCTTATGGTGGCCACCAACATCCCCTGATATAAAACAAATACCAACCCTGTAAATATCTGTCTATTTGGCTTAATCACATCGTTTTCAGCTACAGGTAGGACTGGCAGTTAGTTATATTTAATCACAATTATCTGCACTAATTTTCCTTATTGATTCAGAATTAAGGCTGAAATAATTGCAGAATTATTTCAAATTATTTATTCACCTGAACAGAATATTTTTTTGTTTATAAGTAAGCATCAATATGGAAAATATACTTCCTTAATGCAAATTTGTTAATTAAATTGGTACCAATACAAACATGACGGTTAAGGAGAATATATTTCTAAAGATACTTTCATTATACAAGACTGCCATAGTAACCCTTAAGCAAGATAACTGTATTTGATCTTATTGGAGAAAAAGTAACTAAAACATCAGATATAGTAAAACGAGGATTCCTTTTTGAAGTGAAATGAAACCTTTAGGCTTGGCCCAAATTCTTCTAAAGAGTCTTGATGGTTTCAGTGTCGTTGGCATGAGAAAAAGATCTGCCTGAAGATGTTTTATGTCATGGGGAGGTGGTTTCATCATGATCCGGAAGCTCTTCTTTCAGTGGATCAATGGGTCTTTGGGTTTTGTGAATAAAGAGGTCCAATAAGCAAGAAGCCCAGTTAAGGCAACAGCAATCCTCTGCTCTACAAGCACAGCTCTGCAACATTTATATCATCAGGAGCCGTTCACGTTCAATATGCATCTAATTACCGGAGAAAATGGTGTAAGGCATGCAAATGAAATGTATCACAGTCGCCAGAGGTGCTGATTTATAAACAAAATCCAAAATCCATCTTAGTATCTCCAGAAAAAACTTTGACCAAAAGCAAATCTAAAATGCAGATTGTTGCTAACTTAACCTATTTTGGGCCTGTTATATTATTTCCACTATATGGTCCTCACTTTTTTTCTGTTGTATCTTTTCTCTCTTGTACAATTTTAATTGGGAGTTACAAAACGGTTTTTGGCTTAAAATAGACTGATGTAAATGGGACAGAAATATTTGTTGGTTTTAAAACTTCCTGACGAATGCTCTAACATCTGCAGTATGGGCTGTCCATACTGTGCTTTAAAACCCTTAAATATGTGATTTTTCACTAAAAACTTAGTGATTTTAACTAAGTTTATAGAAAGATTTTATTGCGTAAATTCATTCTCCTCTAATCATCTCTCATTCCGCCCGTCTGTTTACCATCAAAGAACCAAATAAACATGGACTCAGCAAGCGGACATTTTTTGCACATATCTGACCCAGCGTTTTCACAGAGATATTGGATGATGATGGATTGGAAAAAGGAAGCATATAACATTTTAAACAAAGATGTTGACAGTTACCAGTCTGCCATTAGAGGTTTAATGATTGTGAATTCAGTGCCTTGTAAAAGTATTTGCAGCCTTAGCTTTATAATCATCCTTCTCTCACCTCAATGTAACAGAAAAAAACATTTTAAAAGCTTTTTTCTGACTAAACTCTAACCCCTTAAGCTCAGGGGGTCTTAGGAGCAAATTCTGCCTGAAATTACATATCTGAATTAAAGCAAGTACAGCTCCCAAACTAAATACAATTGTTTGTATTTGTATAACAGAAAGGCGTTGAGGGATATTTTTCAGGTGGAACCACTATTTGTTTAATCACCAATAAATCAGACATGGTGACATTTAAAAAAAAAACTAGAATATATTTAGCCTAACCAAATTTTTATCCAAAATAAAACTGCAAAACACCATGAAACTCTGGATGAACCCTCAGAGTTTATAGATCCACATCTTAACTATAACTCATGCAAATTCAGACTGAATAAGTTGAAGCATGTTTGTTCCCCAAAGGTTTTCGTGAGCAGTGTGCTTGGAGAAAACGTGATTTTGGTACAGTGCCCAAAGTAGCCAAATTACTGACTAAGGTTTCTATCAATACATTTGCTTTTATTTGTTCATGCTTCCGGTGGTTGGCACCTTTATTCCACTCTGGATTCTCGTGAGTGTAGTATTTGATCGCTTTACAATAAAAAAAAAAATAAAGAAACTGTTTTGAAAACTTCGATATTCATTCTTTTCCTGCTTTTTGTCTCAACTATCACTGTTGAGACAAAAAGACCTGTTTAAATTCACAGCCAAAATCATCCGGCCTTCATAATTTCAGGGACTTCAAAGGATCCAGTCCAGGTAGACCACGTATGGAAGCGAATCGTTACCATATTTCAAATGAAAAAGCATTTCTGGAAATGCTTTTTCATTTAAAGAATGTGGCTGCATTGGTTGACTCATAAATGAAATTAGTAATCAATAATCCTGTTTACATTTTCATCTTCAACACTGTTCATCCTTTTACTTAATTAAAATGAAGAAAAAGACATTTGAGATTTATTCTTCAAAATTAACCCCAGCAAATACATACCAAAATTCAATTTGAAATGTAAAATTTGAGAAGGAAAAAGCATTTCCAGAAATGCTTTTTCATTTTAAGAAAGTGGCTGCATTGTTTGACTCATAAATGAAATTAGTAATCAATCATCCTACTTGCATTTGCATTTTCTTCTTCAAATTTTACAAATTTTACATTCCAAATTGAATTTTGGTATGTATTTGCTGGGGTACATTTTGAAAAATAAATCTCAAATGTCTTTTTCTTTTTCATTTTAATTAAGTAAAAGGATGAGCAGTGTTAAAGAAGAAAATGAAAATGTAAACAGGATTATTGATTACTAATTTCATTTATGAGTCAAACAATGCAGCCACATTCTTAAAATTAAAAAGCATTTCTGGAAATGCTTTTTCATTTGAAATAATGAAACGATTCGCTTCCATAGGACCGCGTCCTTGAAGGACGCAGACCATGAATTTGAACAGAGCCTATGTTTTGTTTTTGCTGGATTCATATTATCCTTTAATAACAAAAGCAGTCACAGTTGGAATGTTACTGTATGTCATGTAGATTTATTGTTGCTTTATTCTTTGTAGACTGAGCAGCATGGAGGTCTGTAACGAATGGGAAATCCACATCCCTATGGAGGCGGAGGTGAAGAACATCCCCCTGAAGAGTTTACCTAACTCAATCCTCAGGAGAATAGGCCTCACTGTTTCTGACGGCGACTCCTCCAGGAAGCCCACTGACTCCTCAGAGGTGATCTGGATTTGTCCAGCTGTGATTGGACGAAAAGGAGAGGGACACAAGGGGAAACGTTTGGCTGAATTCCTGGGCACAGAGTTTCAGGGCAGTCCTTTGAAAATGTCCTTTGTCTCATCCAATCGAGCAGCCAGGGAGGTGCTGAAGAACGTCCCTGCAGGGAAACCTTTACCTAAGAAACAACCTCTATGCCAGGACTTGGCACTGCAGGCCAATCAAGATGCTGTTGTCATCTACAATGGGCAGATTTACCTCTGTATCAGGAAGGGCAGGAAAAGACGACAGAAGGCAGAGGATCGGTCATCTGCTCGCACCACCAAGGTAATTTAACAAGTGAAATAAGAGGTAACGTCTATGAAAACCTCCAGCAGACCTGTGGGACCCGACCATGATCCACAGGCTAATGACTAATGCTGGTTAGCAGGATGGTTCTGTAACGAGTCCATTCAGAATATTATAGATCTGAAGAAGCATCGGTGTGATTAGGTCCGGAATTGGATTCAGTTAAAGGGAATAAAACAAACCAGATCAAATTCTTACACAAACCCCAGTTATGTTGCAGATTTTTCTCCTTTTGTTTCTCTTATATTCTCCAGCTCATCAAGCATGCTTAAAAATCAAAGAAACATTTTAAATACAAAGGAAAGTGGACCCAGACTACTCTACTACCCCCACCATGTTTGACTGTCAGAGGCGGGTTTGGTTCTGTACTCATGATTACTGTTTTTAATGACATCTCCTGTATCAGTGATGGCTGTTTATCCATGTTTAGAGGAAGCAAAGAAGCCCCAATCAACACACTACCACCACCATGTTTAACTGTCAAGTCTCTGGCTCTGTTTCTGATGTGCTGTGTTTGCTTTATATCAAAATGTAGCTTTTTTCACATCTAACTATAAGATTGTTTCCCCAAAGTCTACAGATTCATCCAGATGTTTTCTGGATGATATTCTTTGTTTTTTTTAGTCCCTTTGGACTCTAATATAGTTATTTATTTATTTCTCAAGTCTCAATTTTTACTCAGGAACAAACAACCATTATTTTCTTAAACTTGTTTTGAGTTTGATAAATTACCATTTAAGGATGTGAATGATATCATCGTCATCACTGTTGGATAGATGTTTTTGGATGCTCTACCTCAAGGTGGTGTAGTACAATATCTGCACATTGTTTTGAATAATCTAGAGTAGATCTTGGCCCCCTTTGTTGCTCTTTATAGTGAACAAACATGGCTGAATTCACACCTGCACTTAACGTTTACATTCTTTATTTCTTATGCTGGTTTTATTTTGCCAGTATGGCCTCTATGGCTGTTGAACAGAGCTTCTTCAAACAGTTTGAAAGTTAAAGTTCTCAATCGGTGCACAGCTGCTGGGCTGAATGTTCCTAAGACATGCGGGTCTGAATAATGCTCAAAGTTCCCTTCACACCGCGCAAAGCGTTCCTCCTAAGTTTCCTGTAAGGAATCAGCGGCTAATGGAGAAAATGTGCTGACTGTAGCCGCTGGTTTTATTTAGTTTTCCATTATACTGACTTCTACTAACAACGCATTGAATGGTAAATGGAAGAAATGCAATTTCCATCATGTGGCTTGAAGAGAATTATTCCTAATAAGGTCATTTTAACCATGCAAAATAGGATAGCATGATCAGTATAGGTTTCAGTTTAAACTCTTCCTTTATAAAGCTCCAGTCGAAAGTATTCAGGGCTTGGAGGATATGAAAATGAAGAGGAAACGGTATTTTCATACATTAAAATAGGTTAAGAAGTCTGCTGTGCAGGACTGTGCTTGGCTGCTAAAACAGTCTTTGTTTTTGTTTCAACTAGGGCTACAAATAAAAGATTATTTTGCAAATCAATGAAGCTGTTGATTATTTTTCTCGATTAATCAATTCATAATTGGACAGCCAAATATTCCATAAAGACTTTTTTACAAAATTAAACCAGGTGAAGCTAAAACTTTTCCACTTGAGGAGTTCTGATTAGAGTATATTGAGTTTTTTTTATTTTTTTTTTTTATTCTTAAATGCAAAATTATACACGTTTTTACAATTTTGATTCAATTACTGCTCAAGGCGGGTCACCCTGTTGGCTAAAGGCATGTTTTACTGTCTATAATCCAATTAATGATTAATCGATTACTAAATTAGACTAGGTCATTACTTATTTAGTGAATGAGTTGATTATTTCAATCCATTAATCATTATTAATCTAGTTAATTGTTTCAGCAAAGTGGTTCAGAGGGGTGGATGGCATTCTTTGAGCCACCCTGTTTAAAAAAATTAAAATGTGAAATTCTACCCTGAGAATAAAAATGTAAAACAATCCATATATTTACTGGAGAAGATGAGATGTTTGCTGTGAGACCATTCCTTTGAAAACAATGTCATGTTGATGTTGTTCTGTCTGTTTTTCAGGAGCTGGGAAGCAGCAGAAGAAAGATAAAACCTGATGCAGGTAAAGTAATGAGCTCTCTGAAGGCTATAATGAAAAAAGGTGCTTCCACAGTCGGGGCGCCCCTCCGTCCTTCTCCCAGTGGGCACAGAGCAGACGCTAACAGTCAGTGTGTTAATGCGTCAGGGCTGGACTCGGAGCAAACGGCTCTCCAGCTTTCATACCGTCATGAGAATCAGAGGAACCCGACCAGCAGGACGAGTGGAGAACATGAGAGGATAAACTTGGGTGAGGAAGGGGCCTGGACGGGTGACATGGACGGTGATCAGACCCGAGGTCAGGATGAGTTGAAGATGCCGGAGTCTCTGCATGCAGCTGCTGCCTCAACGTCGAGACACATGGACTTTGACTTTAATGAGCTGGAGCAAGAGGAGAGGATTGCTCAGCTGAAGGCCAAATTCATGCAGAGTGAAGCTGCTCTCAACAACCTGCTGTCCTGATGGGACATCTGGCTCTTCTTTCTGGCCATCATGACCTGTTGATAAACTCTAAGCTCATTGATGGATATGTTTCAACAAGCTTGGAACCTTTATGACTGGTCTAGTGCTTTTCAAAGACCAATCTTTTGTCATGTATTGTAATGGATAAACTTTATGGTCTGGAATCTATGGTTTGAAAAAAAAATAAAAACAAAATGTAACTATAATGAGCTTATATCTTTGACAGTTTTTTTTTTTTCAGCTAAAATGTAATACTATCCCATTTATACATATTAGCTCTGGTGTTTCTGAATGCATAGTCTGCTGTTCTTTCCCCAATAGCAGAACTGCTGCCTATGTGTATTTCAATTGCACATTCTTGCTGATGGTTTAAGTAAACAGTTCCTTCAGTTATAGAAAGAGTTGAAGAGTGAGGTAAATACTAATCTTTTTTGTGGATGCTGGTCCTCCTATTGATGGATGTCCTCTGGATCTGAATGTAAAGACATAGTAAAGAGACAGAGTTTAAGTAAACAGTTCCTTCAGTTCTTGAATGAGTGAAATACTTATCTTTTCTAAGGATGCTAGTCCTACTGATGATGGAGGTCCTCTGGATCTGAATGTAAAAACATACTAAAGAGACAAGGTTTAAGTAAACAGTTCTTTCAGTTATTGAATGAGTGAAATACTTATCTTTTCTAAGGATGCTAGTCCTACTGATGATGGAGGTCCTCTGGATCTGAATGTAAAAACATACTAAAGAGACAAGGTTTAAGTAAACAGTTCTTTCAGTTATTGAATGAGTGAAATACTTATCTTTTCTAAGGATGCTAGTCCTACTGATGATGGAGAATGCTGGATCTGAAACCAAAGACATAGTAAAGAGACAGGGT